TCTTGTAATTACTTGAAGATGATGAGGGTGAGAGAGTAAATATGTTATTTTCGAAACCAAAAAAAAAAAAAAATTTGATGGCATTTTCGTGAATTATATGAACTTGTGGGGTGAATTGGGCAAAATAAAGTTCCAAAAAAAAGGGAGGTTAGTTTTGTGGTTGACTTCAAGTTTCAGGTCAATTCTGCAAAAAGCCCTTCTTTATATAGCAACCAACAATTCCTTTTCTTCCCAAAAGATTTACAGATCAAGAGTAACACCAAAGTCACACCAATCTCTCCATAGTTTTGACATAACTCGAATGTTACATTACATCACACACACACTTATAAAACAAAATAAATCTCACTTGTTTCTTTTTTCATTTTCAGTAATTCTTTCTTATAATTTTTTAGTTTTATTTATGTTCGTAATAAATATGTACTCTGATCTATCATCATCATGTAGTTAAGGGTTGCAACTAATTCCTTTAATACAAAGTCTATGACAGACTATCATCATCAGATAGTTAAGGCTTAGCCTTGGTCTGGTACCCCCCTAGATAATTAGTTTTGTAATATCATATGGAACGAAGAAGGAGAACGTGTCATATTAGTACATACTCTACACATGTTTGTGTGATTTATGTATAGTCCACGTCTATATTAAAGTGTACTTTATATCACTCATTTTCTTTGACAAACTAGATTATTAAACTATGATTTGAAAGTATCTTTACATTTTTTTGTTCACTAGCTCAAGTCTCTTAATTACATGTAATGAAACAATGTACAAATGTTTCAATGGTTAACTGAAATATTAAATATATAGCTTTTTATATGACATATAATCTAACAATGGTAAAATCATATATAAAACTTTTTGTTTTTAATTGTAAAATCAAACATTTTATACACAGTTTGTAAACAAAAATACATAAAAATAGAGTTAGAGAGTAAACATTTTAATTTTGTAAACAGTTTTATAACTTCTGTGACTAAACACATGAAAATAGTTACTCTGTCTATTACGAACTTTGAGATATACTCCACTTGCATATGTATAGAATCATACGTGGATCTGTGACGGATCAGGTATTTTAGGTATCCCGCAGATTCATATTTTACAATTTTTATTTGGATTTAGGATTTTCGGATATTCGAATATCGGATATCTTTTGAAAAATTGTAATACAGTATAATCTCTTTAAATTAATAATCTATAAATTAATATCACTATAAATTAATATAATTTCATATAAATATTACTAAAATATATAAATATATGTATATATAATATTTTAATTATTTCTATGTATTTTTTGATCAAAATTATTTCTATGTATACTCTTAAAAAAATATATATATAATAAATAAAATTAGTATTATATATTACTATTTTAAAATAATTATCTATTTTGACGAATCAGCATTTTATTATCATGATCTCATCCAAATTTTTTGAGAATCTGGATCAGGTCTCGGATCAATCCGAATAGCCTGATTTTTGGAGTGGATCCGGATCATATTTTGGATCGAATCTAGATTTCAGATAATAAGTATCCGGCCTAATCATACAGCTATGTGAAATCCTTATTATTATATATATGAAAACTATATATAGGGAAAAACTGTAACAAAAAAATATTATCGTAGTGAACCAAATTAGGTTGTCAAAGGCCCCTTTGTATAATAAAATGGCCTCATACAAATAACCCAGAACCTTTTTTTGGTTGAAAAAAAACTCGAGACATATAAAAGAGGATTAGGTTTTCGTCGATCCCATAATCTAAGTTTTTCAGACAAGAAAATGATTTCTACATAGATGACTTATGCACTAATTCTCATCTCGTAATTATGTTTTCATCCTTATCTCTAATTACTACTTCTTCATAATTTTTCTTATGTATGAACTCAAAATTCCTAAGATCCAATTTAGTGAAAAAAGCATAGTACGAAGTCACATGTTTAGTGTATTAATATTAAGAGAACAACTAGACCATGACCCGTCCGGGCGGGTGTTTTGTTTTCTTTTAATTTGTAGGTTTATACTAAATGATGTAAAATAAAAAATAAAGTATCAAGTAAATAGTTAAAAATTATTTATGAGTTTAATTTTGATAGAAGAATACCGAAAGTTTACTGTTTGATCCGCATAAGTGTTTGTTTTTATATATTTTATAAGTGATAATATATATTTTTAAATATACCTGTTTAAATAATTGTTTAAAATGACATTTTAAACATACAATTTTATAGTTTATATTGAGTAATTTTATTTTATCATATAAACTATCATTGTGTCATACTTATTTTAAAAAATATGACATGTACATATGCACAAATATTTTTATTTTATTTTTATGGATCAAAATTTTATGATAATGTATAACTAAATTGTTTTATTTACTATTTAAAATATATGGTCCTATATATTTTTACTTTTTAACTTTTATTGTTCTGAATTTACCTTGAACTATTATTTATATAAAAATATACATAACATGATATGTTTATATTAATCTTTTTATTATATATTATATAAATGTTTATTTTGTGACTTTTATTTTAGTTATTAATTATAAATAATAAAAATATAATTATATATCTTTGAAAAAATATTGTTCATTAACTATTTAAAGATATGTAGATAATTAATAAGAAAAAAATCCTAAAAGGTAGGTTAATTAATATTGGAATTAATTATTTATTTAATTACGAAAGGTATATATGAAAATAATTATTTTCATTAATTATTGTTGCCATAATTTTTTTTAGTTAAAATTTAATTTTGGAAATGCATTAATTAAAGTGAAAAGACAAAGAATCCTATAAGGTAGGATAATTAAATTATAAACATAATCATTATGTTATATTGGTAACTCAAAAAAATGATTTTCCATTTCCAGTAAGCATTTAATATCTAAAAATATTAAATGTTTGATCGAATGCATTTGGTCCAGCAACTATAGCCAATCAGAAACCAAAGCATCATGTAAAGGTGATTTGGTCGAGCGAAATATTTTTTAAGGCCAATGGCATTTCTTGTAAAAGTCATTTATGATTCTCTATCATTTTGTACTGTCTCGAATATTTTTACGTCTCAGTGTTATAAAAAAAAAAAATATTCCTTATGTGTTATCATTAGATTAAGTTTAAAATTAATCATCTTAATTTGATTAGTTGATTAATTTGATTAGTTGTTGGGGGTTATTCAAATATTTCAAATGATTGTCCTTAGGCCCGGCCTAGATAGAGAGAGAGATGTGAAACTTGGGTGGATGCATTAACTCCTCTCGACGCAGTGTTTCCTCTGTTGCTCCTTTATATCTCAACACTTCCTTGTTTCCTTTCATCCCTCACAAATCTCATAGGCAAAACAAAACAAAAAACTTACGATGCCTCCCAGAATGCCCTACGTGAAACTTGGTTACCAATACCTCATAAACCACTTCTTTATTGTCCTTCTGGTCCCAATCATAGCATACATGGCCTTAGGGCTTCTCCAAACGGGTCCCAAAGAGATCATTAGTCACTTGAAGTCACTCCACTTCGATCTCTTTCATATCCTTTGTTCTTCCTTCCTCATCCTATTCGTTTTAACCGCTTACTTCATGTCCAAGCCACGCACCGTATACCTTGTAGACTACTCTTGCTACAAACCTCCCGTCACTTGCCATGCCCCGTTCTCTAAGTTCATCGAACACTCACTTCTCAACCTCAAAGACGATCCCGAGAGCGTCGAATTCCAAATGAGAGTCCTCCAAAGATCAGGTCTCGGACAAGAGACTTGTCTCCCTCCAGCTCTTCACAACATCCCTCCAACTCCAACCATTGAATCCGCAAGAAGCGAAGCTGAAACGGTTATCTTCGCCGCCATGGACGATCTGTTCAAGAACACAGGTCTGAAACCTAAAGATATTGACATCCTCATTGTTAACTGCTCTCTGTTCTCACCAACACCTTCTCTGTCCGCCATGATTATCAACAAGTACAAGCTCAGGAGTAACATCAAAACCTTGAATCTCTCGGGGATGGGATGTAGCGCCAGTCTTATCTCTGTGGATGTAGCACGTGACTTGTTACAAGTCTACCCTAACTCCAATGCAGTAATAGTTAGCACTGAGATCATTACTCTTAATTATTACCAAGGTAAAGAGAGAGCTATGCTGGTTCCAAATTGCCTCTTCCGCATGGGGGCTGCCGCCATTCATCTCTCTAACCGCAGATCCGACAGGTGGCGAGCTAAGTACAAGCTCTGCCACCTTGTGAGGACACATCGTGGTGCGGAAGACAAGTCCTACTATTGTGTCTACGAGCAGGAAGACAAGGAAGGTCACGTTGGAATTAGCATGTCTAAAGATATAACGGCCATTGCCGGAGAAGCCTTGAAGTCTAACATCACAACCACAGGTAACTAACTAATAATATTACTTTCAACAACGTCATTGATGCTTTGAGCATATGATATTTTGTTTCCAAATTCTATATCATGAGTTTAAGTGCTCGATAATAAATAGAATAAAAGTTATCTTGATAATAAATTGTTGGACCATGACACGAACACAATAGTCATTCATCAAAACCATGTAAACGTAAACACAAGCAGACAGTTGAATACTAAAGTAGTGATTTTGAACTGCTAATTAATTTGTATTTATATCTCTTTGTACGGGGAGATCTACAAGATTGACATAAAATCCAAGGAACAACACTAAGTTTTCATTAAGATGTAAAAGATATTTGATAAATCAGTGTCGGTAGATAGAAAATTCTTCAATTATCTAATACCCTATATTGTAAATTCATTGCCATATTAGGAAAGTTAGGTTCATTCATTTACTATAGAAGTCTATGCATGTTGTAGATCTTCCAATACTTTGACCATGAGTATATAAATAAATAAATAAAATTGACACAATTCTTGGAATGGATAGGTCCTTTGGTCCTACCGGCATCAGAGCAGCTTCTCTTCCTCTTATCATTTATCGGACGTAAAATCTTTAATCCAAAATGGAAACCATACATACCGGATTTCAAGTTGGCCTTCGAGCATTTCTGCATCCATGCAGGAGGAAAACTAGTGATCGACGAGATGCAGAAGAGTTTGCAGCTGTCGGACGAACACGTGGAAGCTTCGAGAATGACGTTGCATAGGTTTGGTAACACCTCTTCCTCTTCGTTGTGGTATGAGCTTAGCTACATAGAGGCTAAGGGAAGGATGATAAGAGGCAACAAGGTTTGGCAGATCGCGTTCGGAAGTGGATTCCAATGTAACTCCGCCGTTTGGAAATGTAACCGCACGATCAAGTCACCAACGGAGGGACCATGGTCGGATTGTATCGACCGATACCCTGTCCTTAGCCCCTGAAGTTGTCTATCTATAAGTCGAATATGTTATTTCTTCGTAAAGGAATCATGAAGTACTATCTTATCTATCTACTTGTGTTATTGCAGTTTTATCATTTAAATCAAAGAGGATGCACATTCCCTCTTTTTATTGTAACCGAAAGAGTTGAGTTTGAATAGAATTAAGTTGTGTTCAAAAAAAAAAAAGACCTTTGATGTATCCAACATTTTATTTTTTGTTCATGTTAACTCTTTAATCTTATAATCCACCAAATCTAAAACAAATATTTCACATCTTATGAGAATTCAACAATTTTTCGTGTTACCATAGGGCCGGTCATGGGCTAAAGCTGATAAAGACATGTTTTAGACGCCAAATTATATTATATATTTATAGGTCAATAAAAGGTTTTTAGTAATTAAAACCTTCAACTATTTTTAAATCAGATGAAAAATCTCCAATTAAAATTTTATGTTCTTAAACCTCCAACTACTAAACCGTTAATTCCGTTAACCTTCCGTTATCAAATTTTTTTTTTCTTAACGGAGACCCGTTAAATTGAAACACCGCGTTTCATGTAATTTCAAAACTACATAAGGTTCTTACTATCAATATATATTTTAGTGATTTAAACCTCCAACTATTTTTAAATCGGATAGAAAACCCCCAACATAAAATTTTATATTTTTAAACCCTCAACTATTAAATCTTTATTGCTTTTAACCCTCTGTAAACAAATTCATATTTTCTGAATGAGAAACCGTTAAATTGAAACACAGAGTTTCATGTAATTATATAAACGACATGAAATGTTTAAACCCCCTATATCAATGGGAAATAACAATCACAATTCATCCTTAAATAAGAAAAAAAGTTAGTTTTTTTTTTCCTCTTCATCGAAGGTGAGGTAAGTCAAAAAAATTCTATTGTTTCTAAATTTTAGGCTATGATTGTATGGCACTTCTGGCGATATATTTTAAGTGTAAAACATATTTACTTTGACTCGAGCTAATATTTAGCCAATCAGGTGAAAAAATTCAACTTGCCTTTTCGCTAGTTACTATTGAAACATAATAAAATTGTTTCATTTTTCTCTCTTGGTTTATGCAAAGAAATATGTGTTGCGATGGCTTTTGTATTGTTTTCCACTTTTTATTTTCTTCTGTCTTTCACCTATTTATTTTATGTTATTTTACCTTAATGGCCCATCGATAATTGCCCAAACATTCCAAGATTGACGCTCAAAGAGCCATCATCTCGAGGGCCGTATTAGAGACAAAGGTCCACATCGGTTGTTGGAAGGAATTATAAGCAATATATAAGATAGATGGGCCACTCCACTTATTATCAATCGGTTTTAGATTGGAAGTCCATCTACCTTAACATGGTATAAGAGCCATGATCCACAAAGTCCAACCCGATTCTTATCGATCCAGCCCAAATTCAACCCATCGATCTTTGCCTGAACATTCCGAGATTGACGCTAAAGAGCCATCATCTTGAAAGGCGTATTAGGGACAAATGTCCCACATCAGAAGTTGTAAGGAATTCTACCTAATATAAGATAGATGGGCCACTCCACTTATCACCAACTGGTTTTAGGTTGGAAGCCCATCTACCTTAACAATACGCAATCAACCCTAATTCTCTCTCCTATTCATTTTTTTTATTTGAGGATGAATTGTGATTATCATTGCTCATTGATATAGGGGGTTGAAACATTTCATGTCGTTTATATGATTACATGAAACTCTGTGTTTCAATTTAACGGTTTCCCATTCAGAAAATATGACTTTGTTTACAGAGGGTTAAAAACATTAAGGTTTAATAGTTGAGGGTTTAAAAATATAAAAACTTTTTTAGGGGTTTTCTATCCGATTTAAAAATAGTTGAGGTTTATAATCTCTAAAATATATATTGATGATAAGATTCTCTTGCCGTTTTTAAAATTACATGAAACGCAGTGTTTCGATTTAGCGGAGTGTCGTTAAGAAAAAACGATTTTGATAACGGAAGGTTAACGACATTAACGTTTAATAGTTAGAGGTTTAAAAACATAAAATTTTAGTCGGAGGTTTTTTCTCCGATTTAAAAATAGTTAGAAGTTTAAATCACTAAAAACCCATCAATAAATTATTAAATGTTAGTTGTGGTGTGGTGGTTGATATGGTTAGAGATGGCAATTGGGCTTTCCCGTCCCGTACCGCAGCGGGCTCATCGTCGAGCGGGTCATGGCGGGTGTGTCCCGCACGGGCTGCGGTCTTCCGAATGGTTACCTAATCCCGTACCGCATAATTTATAAGCCTTCGTGGGCTGTTCCGCGGGACGTATCCTTCAGCTTCCTTCATGGATGTTAAAGTAGAAGAGTTGTGTAAAGAAGTTGAAGAGAGCTGAACAACATCGATCGCAACAACATCCAATGTGATCACTCGCTGGTTTAATGGTCTTGAAGTAAGTAAGAGCCATTTGGACAGTAAAATTTAACTCTTTCAAGAATATTCCTTGTTTGATTCTTTGTAAAGCAACGTCTCTTCATAGCAACAATAACTTAATATTAATGGTTTCTTCTTCTCTTTCAACCAAGCTGTTGAACTTAGAGTGTAATTTAAGACAAGATTCTATAGTAACCTAAACTCTCATTTTGAGCCGTTTAAAGAATAAACAGTAGCTCTTCAATAAGCAGTAACTCTTTAACAACATCATTATAACAAAATTTAAAGTTTTTTTTAAAACACCACTTGGCAATACTGAAAACAAAACTCATCAACTTAAACAAGAAAATTCCACATAATAATAAGTCAATTTATAGTACTGAAAACAAAACCAAACAGAAATGGGGACTTAGGGTTGCGGATCTTCAAAATCCCGTGGGTTAACCTGTCCCGCATTCGGCCCATCCCGTTTTGAGCCCGTCCCGCATTCGGTCCGTTCCATTTTGAGCATGTCCCGCGAGGCCCACAATTTTGCAGGCTTATCAAATGAAGGCACAATCCCGCCCGCAGCAAGCCTTTACAGGCCAGGCCCGTGGTCCAGGTCTTTGATTGCCATCTCTAGATACGGTCAATAGACTTCTGAGTAGGACGGGAATGGAAGCTTGGACTTCTTTTTTTAGGTAAAATATATTTTATAGTTGGGTTGGGCTTTAGGCGCCCAAAACTAACGGACCGGCCTGGTTACCATGTTCGTAAAATACATCGAGTTTCGGGTATGAAGTTGAGGTCAATGTTTAATTTGATTTGGATATGGTCTAGTTTCACAACTATAAAGAGAAGGAAATTTCTGCTATGTAATTGGAGTAAGATGCTTAAGGAATAGAAATTAAAAATATATGTACTTCAAGACAAGTTAACTCTGAATAATGAATAAAAGCTTGCTGAGGTTTTGAAAATGAATTAAGAGATTTGGATCATGACAAATAGGTTCAATGATTAAAAATGATCTCAAACTCAAAAAAACTGCGCTCATAACCTTCTTCTATGTAATGTCAAATGTATACATCAAATTCAGTTTTAACGAACTACATAATCTTATAAGAATATAAAGCAGGAAACTGCTTGAGCTTTCTCTGATCATAACCAAAGTGTACCTAGTAACATAGTATGCTCCTGCCTCCTTCCAAAGACTTGTTCATTCACCCAACTTAAAATAGACAACAACAAACAAGTAGCAATTCTCCACCTGTTGATTTCACCAGGTAGAACCAAACTGAGTTCTCCTTGTCAACAGTAAACAACATGATTTGTCTCTTTGTTGTCTTGACGAACATTTTGTTTTTTAAAAACAAACAAGTTTGACTTTTTAGTTATGTTTTGTCGAAATGACCATTAAAGCCCCTGACTTGATCACATAGTAACGCTTCTTCCTACATAACATTCCCTTCCCTCACATCAACCCAAAAAAAAAGTTCCGATCTTTGACAAAAAAAGATTCGCAAAAACCAAATCGGAAGAGATCCGATCACCGATGGCGTTATCACGACTCTCTCTACGATCCAACCGCTTCCTCAAACCTACCCCCACCCTCCTCCGCCACGTCTCCACAGACACAACCCCCATCACAATCGAAACCGCCGTCCCCTTCGAATCCCACCTCTGCGACGCGCCCTCACGCTCCGTCACAACCTCCTCCTCCGAGATCCTCACCTTCTTCCGCGACATGGCCCGCATGAGACGCATGGAGATCGCCGCCGACTCTCTCTACAAATCCAAACTCATCCGCGGCTTCTGCCACCTCTACGACGGCCAAGAAGCCTTGGCCGTCGGCATGGAGGCGGCCATCACAAGAAAAGACGCCATCATAACGTCGTACAGAGACCACTGCACGTTCTTGGGGCGAGGAGGGGAGCTTGTTGACGCGTTCTCGGAGCTGATGGGGAGGAAGAGAGGGTGCTCTAACGGGAAAGGAGGGTCGATGCATTTTTATAAGAAGGATGCGTGTTTCTACGGAGGGCATGGGATCGTTGGTGCGCAGATTCCGTTGGGGTGTGGTTTGGCTTTTGCGCAGAAGTATAATAAGGAGGAGTTTGTTACTTTTACTTTGTATGGTGATGGTGCGGCCAATCAGGGGCAGTTGTTTGAGGCTTTGAATATTGCTGCTCTTTGGGATTTGCCTGCTATTCTTGTTTGCGAGAATAACCACTGTGAGTTTCTTCTTTTTTTGAGTCCTCTGTTTGTGTTTGATAAAGTTTGTGTCTTTGATTGAGTTTGGTTTGGTGTGTAGATGGAATGGGGACTGCTACGTGGAGGTCTGCTAAGTCTCCTGCTTATTTTAAGCGTGGGGACTATGTTCCTGGCTTGAAGGTGAGTCTTGAGTGTTTGCAATTTTTTTGCTTCCATTGAAGTTTATTGTATGCTTTATTTATTACTCGTGTGTGTGTGGTTATAGAGCACTTTTGTTGTTGTGAGGTTGCGTTGTGTGAGAAAGGGAGAACCTTTATGTGATATTTGAGTCTCTTACCAATGGCTTTGTCTTTAACATGTCTCCATCTATATCTTTCTTGTTAGGTGGGTTTTATAGTTTGAACCAATAAGTCTCGTATCCTCTCTTTCAATGTTTTTGCTTTCATTGAAGTTTATTGTATGCTTCATTACTGCGTGTGTGGTTATATAGAATTTACATTGATATGGGGTTGCCTTCTGCATCTAATTGAGTGAGAAAGGACGAGCCTTTATGTGATATTTTAATCTCTTACCAATGGCTTTGTCTTTAAATATGTCTTCAAGGTCTCTATCTTTGTTGTTAAGTGTGTTTCATAGTTTTAACTAGTAGTATTGTATCCTCTGTTTTCCTGATTGGTGAGAGTGTGTGTGTGATCTTAAAGCTAACTAGTGTAGTGACTATCTTATGATTTTGTGTAGGTGGATGGTATGGATGCACTGGCTGTGAAACAGGCATGCAAGTTCGCCAAGGAGCATGCGCTCAAGAATGGACCTATCGTAAGTTTGCTCTATGCATTTATCTTCATTCCTTTGCTTTTTAGTCTTTGATGCTCCGATAGCTTCTCTGAAATTGAACATAATCAAGATGACTCTCTGAGCAAATTTGCTAGCATATATTTGATTCTTATAATTGATTATGCACCTAGTGATTTGACGAATAAACCATTGCTATTTATCTTTGCAGATCCTTGAGATGGACACCTACAGATACCACGGTCACTCTATGTCTGACCCAGGAAGCACCTACCGTACACGTGACGAAGTCTCCGGCGTGAGACAGGTTAGTTCTTTGCTTCATTTTGTAAGAACACTGCTCCAAAACGTTGTAAGTTTTTAATCTGTAAAATTTTGCATTGGTGGTGTTACCTTTAGGTGCGTGATCCTATTGAAAGGGTGAGAAAGTTGCTGTTAACTCATGACATAGCTACAGAAAAAGAGCTTAAGGTACTTTCTTCTCTTACCTTCTTCCCATACTAATTCCATCATTATTTTGGCTATAAAAAAATGATAATTCTCTCTTGACTTAAAAGGACATGGAGAAAGAGGTGAGGAAAGAAGTGGATGACGCTGTAGCTCAGGCCAAGGTAATATAATCTTATGTCTCTTTCTACATTTGTCTTTGTTATTCATATATCAAAAGCATTTATACATATCCCTATTCTTTAAACTTGTTTCAGGAGAGCCCTGTACCAGAGCCATCTGAGCTATTCACAAACATGTACGTGAAAGACTGTGGAGTTGAGGTACTACTACACTTTGCCAATCTTTAACCCTGTGGCACTATAGTTGTAATGAATCTAGAGATTTATGCAATTTTATTTATTGTAATGTGCAGTCATTTGGAGCAGACAGAAAAGAACTCAAAGTCACACTTCCATAAAACCTTGCTCCATAGGAGATGAAGTTTTAATAAATCCAAGTCAAGGCACACACAAATCTTGAATCTTGCTACTAAACTTTTTTCTGGTTTTCATTTCTTTTCAAAAGTGTAAAGCCCTTGCTTTTTGCTACGTTTTTTTTTTGCCATTTTTATATGCACTTCCAACAACATTGTTACTGACACGAAGTAATAAGCTTCAGACATCAGTCGTTCTCTATGTGTGAGAAATGATAAGAGAAGCAAGAAGAGAGCAGTTAAGAAATATCCTATATCTACTCTGGAGTATGTAATAAACAGGATCGTGACGTGTGAGCTCAAAAAATCATCAAGAGACCCGTGTTTAATACCGTCGTCTGCAACTACTAATGACATATTTTTAGTTAGATAAATTGAGAGAAGAACCAACTTCGTCGTCGGTAGCAATAAAGCCTCATGAATTATTATTATCTTTGCTTCTACTACAAGTCCTTTTCTCATTCCCTAAAACACACACACCAAATCCTTTAGAACCGGCAAACTCAATGACGCATTCATTCTTTTGGTTCTGCATTTTCGTAATAGTAAAGATTTCTTGTAACTTAATCACCAGCAAGAATGTTGATTCGTTTGTTACTTATTGTTTTTGTAGCTCAAAATCAAAAACTCATTTAAATGGTTATATGATGATCTGAACTCATGTGATGGAATGTCTCAAAGAAGAACCTATAGGTTGTATATGCCGACAACTACCACAAATCAATAGATTATAAAAGTTTTGATTAAAATTCAAAAAGCAAGGCTAAGGCTGTGAAGAAACATCCTGAAAAACTCGTTTGATCAGTGTCTTTAAACATGGGTTGTTCAAGGATCCATCATACTGAGAATTGAGATGGACACCTACACATACCATGGTCACTTTATATACACTTCAACCATTGTTATTGACACGAAGCAAATATCAATCTAGGTGTGAGGAAAGATAAGAGAAGCAAGAAGAGAGCAGTTAAGAAAAGATCATCATTTCTTTGGCTGTCGACATGTGAGGACAAAACCATCGAGAACCCGTGTTTAATTCGTTATCTACAACTACAAGTGACACATTATTAAAAGTATATAAATAAATGAAAAGAAGAACCAACTTCTTCGTCGGTAGCAATAAAAACCACATGAATGTTCATGTCCCTACCACCTAACTTCAATTATCGTTGCTTCTACCACAAGTCCCTTTCTCATCCTCCACATCAACACACCAAACCCTAACGAACCGGTAAACTCAATGACGCACTCAACTCTAAAATTTCTGCATTTTCTTAATATAAAATTTGGATTACTTGTAACTATTAATCACTATCAAGTAACGCTGATTCGTTCTTTCTTTTCTTTAACTAAACATAATTGGTTTTCTATAGGCCTTTAGGAACCTAACCATACATTAACTCTAGCAAATAAATAGTTTGACAAGTTTTATAGAGTGTTCCAGTGTCTAACAATTCAAGAATATTCCAAACGTATTCGAGGGAAATCTTACATCGTGTTCTCTTCTCTCATACCCTAGAAAAAGTCCGAAGCACATCACATATCACATCACATAGAAAGTGAATATATATAAATTTTCTTTATATTATATGGTTACGTTGAGCATGAGCTGCACTACCCAATGGGAATATTCGCTATAATTGGCTCAGTAGTCGCTACCAACAGCCCCATATTAAAATACAACACAAGAGAACAAAATTTAGTTAAATATCTTATATGAAAATGTTGCCGACAAAAACATTTATCCTAATAAACATTAGGATCTATGTCTTTTTTGTAGCTAAGAGATTTTTTTCTCCTGTACTACGAATACACACGAGCGGTGAAACGCATAAAACCAGAATGATAACCTTTTTTTGGTAATGTTTCTATAAATTGTGTATGATGCATTAAGTTTAAAAATCATTGTTAATTGATTGTGATATGTGAATATGAGAATCTATAGTTTCCTTGTTTGGTTGTGCAAACATTCAATGCTATTTTTCACCGTTTTGTAAGGAAATCTTACATATTTTCCCTTTAGCATTAGTTAAGAACTTTATTCCTTGCTTGGCTGTACAAAATCTAATATTTATAGAAATTTGTAAAGCAAACAAGATACTTCCTCTGTTTCGAATTAATTGTGAGAAAAAAAAATTGGTTTCAAAATAAATATCATTTTCGAGTTTCGAGACAAAATTTATTAGGTTTATATGATATTTTATATTTCTATTGGTTGAAAAGTGGTTAGATGTATGGATAATTGTGTTTTTTTCTTAAAAATATGTAAAATTAAATGTTTTCTTAATCTGTGTGCAAAAACGTATAATGACAATTAAAATGAAAGGGAATGAGTATTATTTCTCTATTTCCCCAAAAACATTATTGGGAAATATTTTCTAGGGTCGATTGTATTTGCTTGCGAGTACCGATTTCTAATATAGTTTTTGTAACTAAAATGCAATTTATTCTTTATTTCAACTGGCAAACCAGCATTTATTTGCAGACATTTTCTGGTAATGCCATTTTTTCATAAGAGTTATTATTACAAGCAAATATATCTGTGCAGAGCACGTGACAAGTTGTGTACATTCAACTTCTCATCTCTCAATCTCACCCGTCCAAATCGCCACAGTGGATCCCATTTAACAAAAGCGAATCATCCAGCTGTTTACCTCGACCTTCATAGCTGGCACTGTCTTAATGGGTCAAGACAAATTTCCAAAACCTACCTTTCGTTTTCCCCTACGGTACACCCTCCCGCACCAGAACAACGCCACTCTTATTAAACTCACCGAAATCTTCAAATTAACTTTTCCAATACGGGCTAATTAAAGTTTAGGGATTTGCTCAAATGTAAACTTTCCCTTAACGACTAAGCCATATCGCCTTCACACGCGCTATTAAACGGAGCGTGAGTTACAATCTCCTAAATAAGGAAACCAAAAATCATGAGAATCCAAAGTAGACAATTACACATCTCATTTATAACCAATCTTTCTTCTTTCTTCAGTCTTCCTCTTTCCTTATCTCTCCATCTCTGTGGAGAGACACAAAAGGAACATTCTTGAAACCATTCTTGCACAATGCTAACTCATTAGCAGTTTCAAGAACTCAAAATCTTTCTTTCTTTCTTCTCCCCGATAATGCCTTCAAACGCCGTCGCTTTAGCGACGTTCTTGTGTCTGTTTCTTCTTCCAACGCTCTCCATCTGTATACGTACAGCTCCAGGGAGGATGACGACCGTTAACAGCGGAAGAAACGAGTTCACCAAACTCGGTCCCTTCATGGAAGCTCCGGAATACAGAAACGGCAAGGAGTGCGTGTCCTCACCCCTAAACAGAGAGAACTTCGTGTCGTCTTCCTCTCTAGTCCACATCGCAATGACAATAGACTCCGAGTATCTACGTGGCTCAATCGCAGCCGTCCACTCCGTCCTCCGCCACGCGTCCTGCCCAGAAAACGTCTTCTTCCACTTCATCGCCGCCGAGTTCGACTCAGCGAGTCCACGCGTACTGAGTCAACTCGTCCGGTCGACTTTTCCCTCGTTAAGCTTCAAAGTCTACATCTTTAGAGAAGACACGGTGATCAACCTCATCTCGTCTTCGATAAGACAGGCGCTCGAGAACCCTCTGAACTACGCGAGGAACTACCTCGGAGACATACTCGACCGTAGCGTCGACCGAGTCATCTACCTCGACTCGGACGTGATCGTCGTCGACGACATCAAGAAGTTATGGAACACGGTTCTGTCCGGGACGCGTGTCATCGGGGCTCCGGAGTATTGCCACGCGAATTTCACTCAGTACTTCACTTCGAACTTCTGGTCGGACCCGGTTTTACCGGGTCGGATCTCGGGTCGGAAGGCGTGCTACTTCAACACGGGGGTGATGGTGATGGATATGGTGAGGTGGAGGGAAGGGAGCTACAGGGAGAAGCTTGAGAAGTGGATGGTGTTGCAGAAGAAGATGAGGATCTACGATCTTGGCTCCTTGCCGCCGTTCTTGCTTGTGTTCGGAGGGGATGTTGAGGCGATTGATCATAGGTGGAACCAGCATGGTTTAGGTGGGGATAATGTTCGAGGGAGTTGTCGGTCTTTGCATCCTGGTCCGGTGAGTTTGTTGCATTGGAGTGGGAAAGGGAAGCCGTGGGTGAGGCTTGATGAGAAGAGGGCTTGTCCGTTGGATCATCTTTGGGAGCCGTATGATTTGTATAAGCATAAGATTGAGAGGGTTAAGGATCAGGCGATGTTTTGGTTTGCTTCTTTGTCGGAGTTAGCTGATGATTGAAGAAGAAGAAGAAGCTTCTGTGTGAGAGGTTTAAAAGAAAAGGTTACATTGTTTATTTTTCTTGTTGTTGTGAGTTTACAGATACATTTGTTCAGGTGATTCTTTGATTTTCTGGTGTATAGATGGAATTAGAGAGGGAGAGAGTGAGGGATTTAGAGGCTGTGGAAGCTGTTGATGAAACCCTTTCTTTGAGAATTCTTTTTTCGTTTTGGTGCATCTTCTTGTTCCTTGATAAAACTCATCTTGAAGTGCCTCTTGAGATTTTCATTTCAGAAGCTTGGGTGGGAAGTTGATAAGGAATAGATTGGTAATAATCAAACCTTTTTCTTTTGGTAATAATCAAATGTCAATCCTGAGATTTATGAGGTTTGAAACAAGGATTAAGAGTTGGATAATCCACGCGTAAATATGTTTTGGATAGTTTGAGGAGACATGATGATATGTACATTTTAGGTACTAACAATTTGGAGTCAAAGTGGATGTTTAGAGTATTTATGTTTGAAATGGCGAAAAAGAGTATGATCAGTGTCTAGGTGTTTGATCATATGATTGTTATCGTTATGAAACCAAAAAATGATCATAAACACAGCGTCGCTTTGGAATTACTAATGAGCCGGGCTGTGAAAGCCCAAATACGTTTCTCTGTGTCTTTGACTTTTCCTTTGAAGTTCACCGATGAGTCTTGGGAAGAATGAATATATGTGGGGTTCCGTTCCGCACGCTCACAGGATTCCCTGAGAAGAGGAGGCAAAACATTTACTAGTCATTAATTAATTAATTTGATAATTAAAGAAGCAAACTCGTGTAACTAAAGTATAGTAGTTAGGACGCAAGTAGTGCAGTGTTCTTATTTCAAACACTGGTCCCACCTACTCTTGTCTTTAGGGGTGGGCACGGATCGGATATCCGGGTTTTTAAGGTATTTGTGATTTGCTTCGAATGTTACGGATATCTAATTTTGGTATTTGCTTTGCTTCGAAAAAATACGGATATCCGGAAAAACGGATATCCGGAAAATAAATAGATATTTGCGGATATTTACGCATATTTACGGATATCTCATCCATTTTAATTAGTACAAATAATCTTAAGATTTTGATACAAATTTGCTTTGAAAAAATATTTTTTTGCATGATATATAAAATAAAACTTAAAAGAACTAGTGAATTTATAGATTTTGTAATTTTTTAAAGTTTAAGTTACAATTATAATAACACAAAATTTAAGAAAAAATATAATTGTCAAAAATATTTTATCTCTTTTTATGTAATACTTTTATATAAGTAATAATTTGAATAGAANTAATAATTATATAATTTTATACAATTAAAATTTTAAATATAATCAAAATATACATATATTTATATATTTACGGATCGGATCGGATATCCGCTTTCCAAAATTTTAATATTTGTGATTTGCTTCGATTTTAACGGATATTGAATTTTAGTATTTGCTTTGATTCGAAAGTTTACGGATATCCAGAATTTTCGGATCGAATCGAAACGAATAACGGATCGAATCAAATATAACGGATAAAATGCCCAGCCCTACTTGTCTTCATTGCCGATATGACTCTAACCTCTTCTTCTTTGAAATGTCTCACTATTAGAGAAACTGTGTTTCAACTTGTGTGTGTGTGTCGACTCCTAGCAGAAACTTTTAAAACGTGGATCATCACTGGGAGCTAACAACAACTTTGGTTTGGTAAAGCTTCTTTAGCTTCTCTCTCTCCTTCAAACTGAAATTTGATTACTTTCAGTCACTGAAGATTATTTTGGGATCTTTCTTTCTTTCTTTGTTGCTTCAATTATTTCAATGCTTATTCATTTCAAGTACACTTTTCGGACAAGAATCTTAGTTTGCTCACAGAGAGGGGTTTTGTCTTGTGTTAAAGTAGCAATTAGATCCTTTACTTGAAGATGGAAATGTCTATGACTGATACAAATTTTGTGTGAACTAAGGTTCTTTTGGTGAAGCATTAATGGGGGATATGCAAGTTGGTGTTGTTGCCAATATTGACCATAATAAGGTATTATTGTCTCTGTTCTTGAGAGATCTCTTCACAAGTTCTTGACAATATTCTCTATTTCTTGATTTTTGTTTTTCTTTGGTTTATAGGGGTTTTATGGCTTGATGGAAGATAAACCGGTGAACCCTAGCCTGCAAGTTTCAGTTTCATTTGGAAGGTTTGAGAATGATTCACTTTCATGGGAGAAGTTCTCTGCATTCTCTCCAAACAAGTACTTGGAGGAAGTTGGAAAGTTTGCTACTCCAGGTTCTGTTGCTCAGAAGAAGGCCTATTTCGAAGCTCATTACAAGAAGGTCGCTGATAGGAAAGCTGAGATCATGGATCATCAGGATAAACAAATGGACAAGAACTCGTCCTTTAGATCAGTCGTTAGAGATCAGGGAAGTGTGGACGGCGAAAGGTCAGTGACAGAGTATGTGGTTGAAGAAGGATGTAATGGGCAAGAAGATAAGCATGTCATTGATATTGCTACTGAAGTGAAAGAAGAAGTCAAGAACGGTCTGGATAGTCAAAGATTGGAGAACTTGGAAGAGATTGGTCTTGTGGAAGAGAAACAAGAAGAGGTTTTACAAGTGGAAGCTGAAGTGGGAGAAGAGATTCAATCAAATGATACAAATGACTATACAAATGAAATCCCAATGAAGGAGATGGAGAAAGAGACAACCCTAAAACTAACCAAGAAGGATGAAAAACGTACAAGAAACTCTCCCAAGGTAAACTTTCTTGTGTTCTTCGGATGTGTTTGAAACAGTTTGTGTCTTCTAAAACGCTCTATCTTGTTGTCTACAGCCTGATCAGGTGAGGACAAAACCGACAACTAACAAGGCTGTAACAAGTAAGAAAACTCCACCAAGCAAAGAGATCAAACACATGACGAAAACAACACAGAAACCAGCAGCACCTATCTCAATAGCCCCACCAAGAGTGTACAAGCCAGCTTCAAAATTCACTTCACTGTCTACATCACAGTCTTCGGCAAAGAAGGAACATCTCTCGTCCGTATTTAGAAACAAACAAACAGCTCCAAAGTCATTGCATATGTCTGTGAGTCTTGGTCCATCTGCCTCTGATCCCACTGCTCTAACAAGTACTAGAAAGTCATTGATTATGGAGCGGATGGGAGATAAAGACATTGTGAAACGTGCTTTTAAAACGTTTCAAAAGAGTTACGACTTCAAATCTTCGGTCTCCGAGCCAAAGCACCAGAATGCAGCAAAGCCAACTAGTAGTCCATCATTAGCTAATGGCAGGTATATAATACACTCATCAGACTTGTGCATATGTTACTGAAACTCATCATTGTAATGTTTTGAGTCCTAACGTTCTGTTCTTGTCCTAAAAACAGGCCTGCAAAAGCAAGTGGCATGGAGAAGAGAAGTAGTACTAACACTCATGGACTGAAAAGCAATGTGAGAGCTGAGAAACAACAAAAGGAGGTAATATCTCTCTCTCATGAGTCATAACCAAACTAAACATGGTCGTGAACTTGCGCTAATGCTTTTTCTTCACGGTGTTCAGATTTCCAAATCTGGAGCAAGACCTGCAGAGAAGACACGCTTGCAGAAGAACTCTAGAGCTAGAGTGCTTGATGCCAAAACTCGGAGGGAGTCTCTTAATCCGAAGGCATTACACATGCAGGGTTCTCATCCACGTCCATTACAAAAAAGCTATTCAGAAAAGTTGATGTCATAGTTACATCGTTTCGGTTTTAGCATGATCTTTGCCACCAATGTTGTTCCATTAGTCTTGAGGGGAAGAGCCAATGATCTTTTTTCTTATATAGAGAATTATGTAGTTGCTAATATAATAAACCTAACGTTAATATCCCTGAGAGGATGATGAATAGTTATAATTTACACTGATGTGTATGTGTATAGACTACGAGGGATATAACATGAGCCAAAGCGAAACAAACCTAACCAATCTCTTGTTGATGTTAACATAGTAATTCTACAAACCATTCTTTAGAATTGCAAGTCAGAGCTATCTTTGGCTGTCATCATTTTCTTTCACTAAATGGATTCATTGATTACCGAACAAAGAAGGTGGGATACAAAGCTAACGAGTCAAAATAACTCTTAGAAACTAAGCCTAAAGGAAACAACCTTCTTTCAGAAGCATTATGTGACACCCGATTCTTCCAAAAATAATATAAATAATAATAATTACTGAAAACATCGGATTTAATAGTAATACTTAAAAGTCGACCTAAACCGTGCCACGTAAGTCCAAAACATAAAACGGCCCAAGGCCCAATACATAACATCCGTAATAACGTCAACATCATAAACCGAAAGTCTGAAATAACATAAGCGATAAAAGTCCAAGGCTTATAAGCCCAATACGATAAAATACGATAAAATACGATAAGATAAGATAGAATACTATAGAAGCCCAAAAGCCCAATAGCACCGGTCCGATATGATCACTCCTGCTGATCGGTCTCACCTGCAAGGGGAAAAAAGAGGGGTGAGCAACATGGGAGTCGCTCAGTGAGGTATGGGATGCTACCCCGAAGTCCGTAGACCAGGACATAGCACTCCAAATAAATATAATTTAAATCTAAAGTGTACAAGCATGGCACCTAAAGCACCCAAGCAAACAAACAATGGTCCTAGCGAGGCGCGCACTCGCTGCCCACTAACGGGCCAAAAATCACACAGCCCACACTGGGGTACA